ATGGCGGATCTCTCGGTCGGCCCGGGTCTAGTTGCGCGAAAGCGAGGCTAGTGAGGCCTCGACAGTTTTGTTTTGATGCGCGTCTTAGCGATTCAGTCGATGAATATGGTTTCCTTCGAGTTGTTACGTGCTTAAGAGCCATCAAATAGGAGATTTAACTCCAGCAGAGACGAAAGTTGATTATCTTCGCTTTGCCAAAGTTCTTTACGAAGAAAGAAATGGATTCAAGCGATTCGGCGCGGCCAATGGAGGCACTCTACTATCACGGAGTTAGTTTTTAAAAGAACGAAAGTGTGCTCGCTTCACTTCAGAAGAGAAGACTCACGAATAATGAATAAATAACTGAAATGATGAATGAATAACTGAAAGATTCATGGTTCTGTTTCAAGTTTGCTTTGTCCGTTCTCTTACCAAGGAAAGGTAAATATCCTCGAGAACGAGTGAATCCGCCGTCGCGACTTACCAATCTTTAGGCGCTCTCAGGGACACCATGACAAACAACAAGGGCGAATATTTTTTTCACAGTCTTCACGATCCTGTGTTCAAGAGTTTGAGCAGTACCATAAAAGAAGCAATTTTTGGAAAATCGTTGTTAGTTTATCTCGAAACCATTCCACAAGTTGCTAAAATAGATCACGCGCAAGGTCAAATATAATGCTCGAATACTTGCGCGCTCTTCTTCTTCCAGAACCGTTTTTCTTCTTCTTACTTTCTTAGTTGGCAACGGTTCCTCCGTTAGTTTTTTCAGTGCATTTTGGTCAAGGACTGTTCTTTAAATATGTCGCTTTCTTCTGGTTCTTACATAGTTTCACAGGCCACGCTTGTAGGATTAACAGGCGATTATTATTGTTGTTGTTATATTTTAATGCAGCTGTTTTCAGCGTGAAATCTAAAAGATCTTACGGTCCACCGCGGATGCTCCCGTTCTCGAGAATGTTTACCTTTTGTTGGATAAATAACAGACCATGCAAACATCTTGGAACAGCACCATCTCTTGTGAAAATTATTTCATTCAAATACTTTCGTGAGTCTTCTCATCTAAAGCAAGTGAGCGAGCACAGTTTCGCTGTAAAGTGCTTCCCATTGCCGCGCCGAATCGCATGAATCCTTAAGTTTCTTTGTGAAAAGATCTCGGGAAAGTAAAGGCTATTCCAGCTAGAGTAAAATCTTCTTTTCGGTGGCCCTCAGGCATGCAACAACTCGATGCAAACCATATCGATCGACTCAATCGCTAAGACGCGCAGTCAAAACAAAACTCTCGAGGCCTAACTAGCCGCGCTTTCGCGCAACTAGACCCAGGCCGGCCGAGAGGTCCGCCATATTTGCATTCGGTGTATACCGCGGTGTTAGCAACATTTTCTCACTCAGAGGGCAAGGGTAACGTTTGTATTTGTCAGTTTTCCTCAGATTTGTCGAATTCTAAGATGAAGAACGTTTTGTGTTTGATAATCTTTCTTTTTGGACCACTGGCCTTCGTCACGAGCAGCCAACATTTCAATAGGAGAGGAAACCCATGCAGTGAGTCAACATGTCCAAAAGACATGCTAGAACTTACACTGAAAGTGCTTTTTAAGCTGATGGCACCAAACCAACCTATCAAATCAGCACCACTTTCATCTGCTTGTCTGATCATGGATATGAGGGGAAAATGTGATTACAGTAAACCCGATATTGAAGTACCCTGCAATTTTGGCAAAACGACATGTTTTGCCGTGGCCGTCAAGGACGAGAAGAAATCCAGCTTCGTCGTGTACGCGATTTCAAAAACCAACGAGGTCGAAATCCCACCTGGCAGTGATCAGTGTAAAAACAGTTTGGCACTCCAAGCAGTAGCTCTCCCTTTCATACCGGACAGAGACACTTACACCATACTGAATCCGGGTGTGGTTCCTTGGTTTTTCACTGATGATCTCGCCGGATGTGACGTTTTCGTCGCAACTGCTGCATACCGAGGTAGTAGCCCCATGGTTATACATTCTAACCGGAACAAGTTTATAAAAGACCTGGCAAGGGATCTCCAAACGAAAGGAGAAGATGTTGATAAAATGCTAAAAAGAATTTCAAATTCGGATGGCTATGAATGGAAGGTGATTGTTCGCGTCTACTATGGACCGACAACCGAAACAGAAAAGGAAAAAATTGGCTTGAAACGCTATGCCGATGAACACCCGGGAATTAAACTCATAGGCTATCAAAAGATACCCGGATCGAAAAATGAAAATTTTGCATTTTTTGGTCATTGCATCAATCCCAGTATAGCCACAGCCATAGGAACGATTCAACCATGCTGGAGATTCATTTTCAAAGCATATTGGACTGGCACAATACTAGGTGAATTAAGAGTGTCTGCAAAAGGGGATTTGTTTTAAAACTTGTAGCAAAGCCGGAATTTTAGCGTCTTAAAATCATACTTATCCCGTGGTTTCTAACTCACGCAGTCACGATATACTGAAGCTTGACTTGCGTTTGTAGGATAGTTGTTATATATATCTTCCCCACTTCAGTTGAAGTTGGTTAATCATCATTCATTCGCATTTATCATCTTCCAAAAATAACATGTATATCAAAATATTTAATCTTGAATAACTCAGGCTGAGACAAGCCGTGGCAATATTTGTAGCTAAATCATGGAATGAGGAAATGAGAGATATGTAAAAAAAAAAAAATAGCCTTTAGACAAAAATTAATCAGTGTGCTCTTTGAAATGTCAAGCAGAAGATGAAGACGATTACCTTGATGCAACCCGCCATGATAACGTGAAAAATAATACCGCGAAATCGTAAACCCTAGCTTATTCACAACTTTGAAACACAGATTTGTTTTTCTTGCTCTTGACGTCAATGCACATTTTCTTTCTTTTCTTTTCTCTTTGCTTTTTACTCATTATGTGGTGATGTCATTGAATGTTGTAACATTCCAGCCTAGTCCTTAGGCGTTTTCGGCTCGATCATTCCCGGACTCTACCATGAGCTGTGACGTCACCGAGAGATACTCGCCCGCTCCCTCCCAGACTTCGCGCGGACAATGGATCAAGAGAGGGACTAGGCTGGTAACCTTCTACATTCATTAATTTGGCACGCCACGACTATAGTTTTGGCTAACTGCGTGCCAAGTAATTTATTAATATTACGGTAATAAATGTCTTGTCTTGTTTACATAGACTTCCAACGATTCGCATATTAATCACGGCGGGGTGAAGCGAATTTCTGGACTGATCTACGAGAAGACACGTTGAGAATGATTCACCTGTAATTATTCACCTATCAGAATCCTGACAAATCTGGTTCTAGTCTTGTAAATAAATAAATAAATAAATGAATAAATAAATAAAACTTTATCGGCTTACACAATTACTGTTTAGCCAGTAGTTTTAGGATTGTGTGCAGAGGGTGGGGATTTGATCGAAAAGTAAAAATTTTGGTCAGGGTGGGGAGGGATAATCAAAAATCCACACCCAGGGGCCTATAACTTTCATGCGCTTCACTCGCTTCTACTAAAATATTTCAGTATTATTTAGTTTAAAGTGCCTCTTCTACCTCGGGGGTTCACATGTGAAAGTAACGAAGTTTTTAACAAACATCTTTTCTCGAGTAGATGGTCTCTAAGCTAGGAATTAAACATCGAGAAAACCGCACCTTATCAAACAACAAGCCTATTCGTGTAGGTCCAAAATACCCCATCGAGTCGAACAAACCTCGAGCTCCCACCCTGCACCTTTGGAGAGTTCTTTATGTGTGTTATCTCTTCATTTAATTTTTGTCCTTGGTAAATGCATCGGAATAACTAGACCAAACTCTACTCGTTCAAAGGAAAACGTAATAAGCGCCTCCCCCGCTTGATTAAGCGCCCATCCTTTTAGCTTAAATTTGAAATAAGCGCTCATTCGAGGAAATACGGTAACTTGGAACGAAACTAAAACCCCGTTACAGTTTCCGTTCCAAAGATCCAACGAGAACGAGAGAAACGAGAGCATATCAGTATAACTCCTTTCTCTCATTCCTTCATGGCATTTCCTACTAAAGTTAATCTACTTTGGTTTTTATTTCGCCGAAACCACCTTTGAAAAATAAATTTAAATGTGTCGAAAATTTTTCTTTCAGGCCTTTCAAGGTTAGCAGGTTCAAGTTAGTTGTTTATCTTGACGAAACAAAAAAAGAGGAAAGTTTATATAAGAATCGGTGATGAAATGGCAATTCCGGACAAGAACAAACAACGTGTTTCAGGCCAGTTTAAATATTTGTTTTCTGCTCTTTTTTCGAATAAACTTGAACTTCCCGTTCCCGGAAATTTTCTAAGCAATGATAATTAACGTTTTTCGTGAAGTCTTCTGGAAACAAGGAAGTGTCTACAGAGCACCAAAAATTGGCATCAACAACATCGTCCCGAATATCACAACGCGAATGGTCATCTAGGGGAAAAAGGAGACTAACCTTGATATTTTTCAACTTCCTTGATTATTAGCCTCAACACTAATTTTTGTCACGTGTATTTTCCACAATACCAAATCACGTGATCAACAGTCAAAGTTCTTCACTTGAAAGATTTTGCGACGAAATCTATGTTGTACCAGCCTTGCTAATTCGTTTGTCACTCGAGTGTATTTAACTGTGCCTATGATTCACAAAGCGCAGCATTTTCCTTGAAGTTTGCGATCCTGAAAATTGATAAATGAGAGTTTAAGGGGTCGCGCAGAGTTTCCAAGAATAAAACAATGCTGTGCGAAGCAGAAGCCGATATAGTAAGACACTATTCACAAACCCAAACACGCGATTCAACCTTGTTTCAGGCAGATTCCGAGAAATGAACCTGTGACCTTTTCCTAATGAATGCACAAACATTTTATTTTCAACAAATACAATGAGTGATTGGCTATCATGTTACCCCACTGAGCGGAATCAAAACTACTTAAGAAGTTGTTAGTCTATTTTGAATTAGTATTTATAAATAAGACAACTAATCGCCGTTACGCACAGCTGGCAGTAGCAAAAATATTCAAATCAATGGCTGAGATGTCTTGCAAACTTGATCGTTACATTACAAACTGTGGCTCAACCACTCCACAGGTTATCGAGGTTTCAAAGGGATTCTGTGGACCATCAATGAATCATACTATCGATCCTGGAGAGGTTCTGGTCATCTACAAAGTACAAAGAGATCGGAAAGTATTAGCCAGAGATTTCAAAGGCAGGGAGCTTTGTCTTTCGAAACGGAATTGGAAGGTGAAGGTCATAAGTGATATTTCTCAACAAGAGTACGACACACTTGTGAACGTTTCATCTCGTTATTTTCGCGTTCTGCACGACATCAGATCCTTCCGTCTTTTTGCTGGGGACATATTGCTCTTTATGAGAGACCCTCCACACCCCCCAAATGCTCGTAATTTGCGTTGCTGTCTCGTCAGCTGCACAGACCAAGTGTGCTTAGATTTGCCTGCAAATCTCAATGGAACGTTTCAGGCCCTTCCAAACTATGGATTGATTTCTATGGAGCGTGTAATGACAGAATGTTCCCTTCCAGTAAAAGTAAGTCTCGAGGATGAGGAAGAGGAAACAACACCGATAATAAATGTTCAGATAGATCGAGAAATTGAAGAGGATACAGTTTTTGCGATTTCTCCTTCTAAAAACAGTATCTTGCTATTCCCAAAGAGTTTAAATATCGCCGTGGCACAACTGATGCCACAACATGAATTTGTGTCTTCAAAGGGATTGGAGTATACACAGGTCTTGCGCAGAATAGAGAATGACCAAGTTTTGCAGAAAGCCATTAGAGGGAACAGTGTGTACTTCACAAATGAGCCGATTAGATGCTATCGTTTCCAAAAGTTACTTTTCCCTTCTTTTCGCGCCGAAAAGAAAGACAAACGAGAGAGAATCAAAGAGGAACTAATTGCTGAGGCGACCTCTGAATCTTATCTTCGACGTCAAAAAGCGGTATTTACAAGCGAAAGCAATCAACCGTGTAGTTTCTCGGAAAAACCGGTCCCTCCCCTTCCGGCAAAGACGAAGAACCAAACAGTGAAACAATACCAAGTTACCGCCAAGAACAATGAGGCGCAACATACTGAAAGCAAGCAAGAAAGTGAAAAGCAAGAGAACTCTAAGCAAGCGAGAAGTACGCAGGAAGCATCACACAATCTTGGCTTTTTGGTGCAACACAAATCGCATACAAACACTTGGGCTGGAACAATCGGAATATCTACTCTAGCGCCAAGGGAGAAAACAGAAATGAATTCAAGCGGACGTGAGGAGTTAGAGACCGAGAGCGATGATGTTTTTTCTGCTTGCGAACCACAACGTGGCGTAAATGCAAATTCAGGGACTGTCAACTCTGGCACTCTTAGTGTGAGAGTACGAAAGGGAGCACTGGCGAATCATCTAGAACCCAAACAGTCACTGTGCAATAAACCTTGCTGGCTTGCAGAAGTGAATACTACTAGTGCTAACAAGACCAAAAACACGACAAAAGGTAAAGAGCCAAGTACAAAGAAGCACAGCGACTCCACGTTTGAGCAGAGAGAAAGCGACGAGAGAAGTGAAACTCAGCTGACACCAGATCTTTTCGTTTCCACACACAATGAATTCAGTCCAACTTGGCAAGATAAAAGCTTTGTTTCCTGTCGGAAAGCATATCAAAAAGAGTTCAAAGTAATTAAATGCAGCGAGTCCTCGGCGGAACTAAGTGAAGAGGACAATGAGGACAGCGACTGTACAGATTTTAGCATTCTCGAGAAGCAAGAAGCTTTCAAGCAAAATATTCCCGAAAGAAATGAAGAGCAGAGCAAACCTGTTGATCGAGGAGTGAATCAAGGAGACCCTGCAGCAGAAAATATTAAGATGTATCGCACCAACGAAGACAACTCGAAAAAACGCCTCTTTCACTCTCTGACGCGCAGACCAAGGTGGTTTCGGCAGGAGGCAGGGAAGCCGGCAAAAAAAGAAAAAAGACAAGAATCAAGCAAGAGCGAAGCTGTTAGGATTTCACCACGTAATGCAGCCTCGTGTGAAGATCTCTGGATATCAAGTCCAAAGGAAGATGATTTTGAGTGCATGTCAAGCATTACGAAGTATCTGGAGACGAAGGAGAAGTTGACAAGAGCCCTTGTCACAATTAACAGTCTAGAAATGAAGGGGTGGGAATCAGCTGACACCATGATCGATAACACAAATGAATACTCACAAGGAAAGCCGGTATCTGACGAGGACCGAAAAGACAGCAAAAAGAAAGAAAACGTTGCCAAACCAGACAAGGATCTGGAAGATAGCCACGATATATCGCCAAAAACTACCCACGTGCAGTCGCCAACCATCTTCTCCAGGGACATCTTGTCTGAGGAGACCAGTGAGTCACTGACCCCTGTAACACATTATCCCCAACTGAAATGTGATAGCGAGGGTAACGAGGGAATTCCATACAACCTGCATGGCTGTTCCACTTCATACGAAGACGTGGACAATTATGTGTTGATGCTGCCCAGCTTTGGATCCGATCGTCATATGGAATGGCACAGGAAAGACCGAGGTGTGGAAGACGGAGCCGACGAACAAGAAACATGCTCGTGTACCACAAACCTTGGCGTTTTTGGTGGCCAGCTGTCTGAGAGCGCAGCTAAACGAAAGATTAAGGAAGCTATCCTTAAAATGGAATGGACCGAAGAAGAGTGGGCGGAGTTGACGGATGCCGTGAGATGCAACGGTCGTAAGCGCGCTTTTCCGCCGTATGTTAATTTATTAAGCAATGGAAGCAATAGATGCATTTCGAAAGATCAAATTTTCATTGATACCTCAAGAAACCTGAACCGGAGTATGCGACGAGCAATGCCACCTTACATAAACATTCCTAAAACAGAAGGGATGCAAGGTGTTGAACAACATACCGGCCAGGGGTTTGTTAACGATGTTCAAAGATTAGCGAATCTCTCGCTTGGAAAACCACCAATTCCAACGCCAAGAAGCGGAAGATCTTCAGTCTAAGAACTTTCAGCTACAGTTATGATTTGTGAACAAAGACTTTGTAGCCTCTTACACTCGAGGCCTTCACTTACGAATACGAACCATGAATCTTCAATATGTCGTGACTGTGTCGTGCAACGACCACGATTTTAGGTCAAAGAAGGGAGCTCAACGGTATCGCTACATAAACTTTAGCTAATGAGGATTTATCACTCACACTTGACTCGTGCAAGTCTACTAACCTTTAAATGATAACTGATAAGCGGACATGTAGCTGTAGTAATGTTATCTATATAATTTTTTACCGAAAAAATTTCTCGGTAGCCTACATGCAGCTAAAAAGTGATGATTCCCGCGCAGGCTAACCACTTCCGTGGAATCGATATAAATCTTACAATTATAACAAGGTAAACTGAGAAGTTATTACTCTCACCAGAAATGAATAGTAACAGAGTTACATGCTATGACCCAACATACATGTACTATATCCCAAAAAAACCAAATATTTTACACAGGGTGTCAAGTCGGAGAGATGCATGCCGTTTTGGCTTTGTAAGCTTGATTTAAAAGAGAGAAGTATTTTGAACTTCACTATTTAATTAAGCACAGAAACTGTACAGTGCCGCGTATTAAAGAGTATTATTTTGTACTAGAGAAAACATATTCCTGGTTTACATTAAGCTGTTCCTAAAGTGAGTATGGCGAAAAGATGTATGGAGATTTCATTAACGCGTGGTTGCTTTTCCCACTTTGATAAGTAATATAACACACTACACTGGTCACTACTAGATGCTCGAAAACTACAGCAGCTCACTGCGAGGAAGCTGTTTTCATGCGCGCTTTCTAATGCCAACAGATCTTCGGTTGGTCAACGAACTACTGTGAAAACCCGCGACTAACAACCTGGTTTTTAAGAACCTGTAAGGCTAAAATTTGCCAGTTAGGCCCCCTCTATACAAGAACCTGTTCAGCCTTATAGGTATACTTATTTTCTAAAAACTATAAGCAAAAGCTGTACACGTGAGCAAATAAGACAAGTCAACATTCAGGATCCTCTTTGGAGACGTAGGTCCCTTATCACTCCGACTTCAATTGTAATGTATGCAGATTTTACTTAAGGAATGAGCTGAATACCACTAAATACTCTTATAGTTACAACGTATACAATGTACTTTTTCTTCAGAAAAAAAGAACCTACTCCAATTTAAGAACCTAAATACCCTAAATTTTTGCTAATTACCATTTAGGTAATATCCTGGTTTAGGATAACCTGGGAAAATGCAGTTTCTTAGTCGCGGGTTTTAACTGTAGTCGTAAGGGCGGGGAAACCCGTCTCCATTGAACTTGAGTTCTCACAAGTTGAACCGAGAACCCCCCCCCCCCCCCCCCCCCCCCCCCCCCCCCCCCCCCCCCCCCCCCCCAACCCCCCCAACCACCACACCCCTCTCCCCACAAAAACAAACAAAAACGACCAACAACACATCACGCATTAAAAAAAAAATATGATAAAAGATAAATTTATTAGGGTATATTATATAATAGTTGATTTAAGAAACTAAATACCCTAAATTTTTTCTAATTACCATTTATGTAATATCCTGGTTTAGGATAACCTGGGAAAATGCAGTTTTTTAGTCGCGGGTTTTAAATGTAGTCGTAAGGGCGGGGAAACCCCTCTCCATTGAACTTGAGTTCTCACAAGTTTAACCGAGAACCCCCCCCCCCCCCCCTACCCTCTCTCGCCTCAACATGGCTGAAGCAACTGAACTCTCAACGGCGACCATTTTTGTACGACAATGAAAACCTGACTTGTGACCAGCTACTACTAAGGTATTAAAAAAGTTTTCGGTGAAATGTTTAGTCTCTGGGGAACTTTAAGAAATCGTAGTAGGCATTAATTCATGAGGACTTCCAACTGCACCAGACGAGCATTCGTATCTCCGGGAAGACGGTAGGGGATCAGACCCGCGAAAGTGATCAATGCTCGGGCTTGGCGCCTTAAAGTTTGTCGATACTGAAAAAAAAAGAAGTAAGTCAGTCAGTTAATAAATAAATAAATAAATAAATAAATAAATAAATAAATAAATAAATAAATAAATAAATAAATAAATAAATAAATAAATAGATAACGACTCAGTGGTGGCACATCCGGATCAAACTGTAGATTATGCTAGGATTTTTTTGACCATTTTAGTGAGGCAAAAGCATAAAGCATTATTCGAACATTTTAGGGCACTTTTCCGGAAGATTGGGCTAGACACTGGAGAGCTTTAGATTTGAGGACGAGAACGGGTACGGGATTTAACTGAAAGTTTTTGCGAGTTTTCTAAAAAAAGAGACAACTCGGAAAGCTTCATTTTACTTTTTTCAACCAAAAAAGTTAGTACGGTTATTCATACTGAAAGAGGTTAAGCCCTCTCTCGATGACAAAACTTCGTACATTTGATAACTTGTTCCCGCGACTACAACATTCTCGCTAAAACTCGTAGTAGAATAAAAATCACTTTTTCCCGCCAAAATGACGCTGGTTCACGGGCGAGCAATACTCAGCATTACTCCTCCTCGTCTCAGAATCTAAAGCTGTCTACTGTCCTTCATTCGTGACCGGCAATAATGATATAACATATTACCCTTTCCTGGCCTCCGTCATCTCGCTGACTTTCAATCAAAGGGCTCTGACCAGTGCCCCTGAAGAAATGCAATTGAAGGGAATAAATTAGTGATCATCTTCATAATTTATCAACCATCAATAGAGAGGGAAAGTCGTTACGTCCCGTTGCCATGGTAACAAAGTTTTTGGATGACAACAAATCGATAACGCCCTTTAAAAGTCTATTCGCACTATTTCAAACTTCACCGATCTTTTTCAATTTCATTTAATTTGGCAAATCTTGGCCACATTTTCTTTTGGACCGTATCTATCGTTATCTAAGTTTTAAAAAAGAAAGCGGAAATTTTTGTGTTGTGTTCACCTACTCCATAAAGCGTGAAATTACGGGAAGTTTCATGTCGTAGTGGTGCAACGACGACAAAGAAATGTACAAAATAGCGTGATGCACGTGCAAAGTTGTTGTTTGTTAATATGAACATATATTTTTTGCCGTTCTCCTGGCCGTCGGGGTCGTCGTTGGTTTTGTTGTCATCCAGAAATATTGCTAGCATGGTAACGTGACGTCACACTTCTCCTCGTTATTATTGCAAAACAAGTGAGACTTCTATACCGACCTTGTATTGCGATAGTTTGTGTAGAGTATGTTCATTGTTGCCAGAAGTACATCTGGTAAAGTTCGTCTTATCTACATGAAGAAATTGAGAAAGACCATGAACTTATATTTACAACTTAATGACCAAGATCTTCGTGCAAGCAGAGTTTTCTCTCTTGCTAGTCTAATCAAAACATCCACAATAGCAGTCTGTGATAGGTTTTAATTTAGTTTCAAAATCGAAGCCCACCTCATCGTTGTACTGCCTAAACGCGGCTACTTTTTCCTCCACAGACTCAGTTCCCAAAGGTACAAGTTTCAGTTTCCGCATTACCTGCCAACGGAAAAAAACAAAAAAACAAAACAAAACAAAGAAGACATGAGACTCAGGCACTGTTAAGAAACTGCTGTGGTGCCTTGATATCTTCCGCATGTTCATGGTGTAACAGACTCCTAGAAAACTGTAATTTGTACCCAAAGCGGTCCAAGGAGCTCTTACTAAAGCCAAATGTTATCCGCCCTTTTAATAGGGATTGGCTGTTATTCGAAAGATTTTACAATAGATTCATTTAAGCTGAAAACAGGCCACATTTTAGCACCTGTCTTACGATTAAGGTTGTATTTTCATTGGGGGCCTACCCACTCAACATTAATTGGCCAATTACTGGTCACGTTCACGACAAAGACGTCATTGAACGGTGACCAGTCGTTTCGCCTATGAGTCATTTCGCTAACTTCCTGATCCCAAACGTCTTATGCCATTCCGCTAAGAAGCGAAACAAGCACAGCGCATGTATATCCTTCGTTCTCTCAGTCATGATACAAAAAAGCGATACGCATGTATATACCTCGTTCTTTCAGCCACTGATCAGGCGAAAGCAGTTAGGGAACTGACCCAGCACGTACGAGAAATGACTTCAGAAGTTAGCGAACAGGACGTTGGCGAAGCGACTCGTAGGAGAAACGGCCGCAACCCCAATGAACAACAAGAACATTTGTTTGAACTTCCAAATGTCGGTGGCGGGTCCAGGTAAAGTCAGTTCGTTGCACTGTAATGTAAGCTCCTTGACCGAGAAGGCACAGAATGAAAGAAAACGACAAAGGCAATCATGCCATACAGTGAAGAGTCACTACGGTATATGCATAAAATAACAGCGACCTTAAGATACACCGTTTCCGTGTACGGGTACGGGTAGCCGTCAATACGGGTAGATTGCCATTATCATACCTGGGAAACCATGACTGCCTTTTATTATATAGACACGAGTGTTTTACTGAAAAATATACCACTCGCAAAATTCATAAAAACTACATCCGGGACCAGAGTGGTTTATTTTCCATAATATCACACGTGAGTTTATCGATGACGTAATTTCAGTAATTTCCCTCTATTATTTTATCCATGTCTTTTTGTGTATATAATAAAAAGAACATTACACGGCGGCTTGAAGATATGAATTTTATTTTCTCGTGGCAAAAACAATATTTTACTCACTCGCTGCGTCTCGTTCGTAAAATATTATTTTGCCACTCGAAAATAAAATTCATATCTTTGGTCCCCGTGCCTGTGGAGAAGAGCGATAAGGTCCCTAATATTTATTTAGTTCCGGCGTACAGTTTCGTGCACAACAAATTGTTGTAAATGTTCTTTAGTCACACTTACATCGAAGGCTGTGTCAAGTTGGCCAGCATGAAAGAGGTCAAAGAACTGCATAAGATCCAGCAACAGGTAAAATGTACTTATACGACTTTGACTCGCTGTATGTCCTAGAGTTCTGTACCTAGAAGGAAAAAACAAGATGTTTTCTTATATTTACTTTAATACCTTGCTCCATGTCACGCACTGTATTTCTTTTAGAGCTTTTTTGTGTTTTAGCTAAAGGTTATTCTAGCCAATAAAGATAACAGAAGCAAACGAAAACCTCCAAGGCAGCCAAGTAAGAACTCTGTTGCGTAGCGTAAAGGGCGTTAACACTATCGGTGACCAGTGTTACAAGATATCAACTCTTGTAGGTAATCACGTTGAGCGGGACTACACTTCAGAAAGTTTATAAAGTCAAAAAAGGAGCTCAACAGTACAGAACGTATGAAAAATGACATTCAGCAAGCTAAGAGCGTGGGACTTGAGTCCCCTACAGAATTAGAACTACGATCTCCCGCTATCACCGGGAAATGGATCAATTTAGGTTTCGTGTCAACTGACTACCTACCCCTGCCTCCCCATAGTCAACATTAGCACTTATGTATCGGTCAAATCGAAGCTTCAACATGCCCCCCCCCCGGGCATATCCCGGGCATTTGACACTTTTGCCGTCCCGGGGAGGAGGGAATTTGATTACCAGAGTCTTCCAGGGGGTGGGGAATTTGATCCCCATGCTTTAGGGGTGGGGAATTTGAACTGCACCCTCGATTTCATGTGAAATCTTTGGCGTTGCGAGCTATCATTGGGGACGCGGTGTTAGAGGATTTTCGTGGAAAAAATTGTGCCTTCATGGCCAATTGGTTACGAGGAAAGGGCTTAAACAAGCTTTGTGCCGTATTTGAAGTATTTAAATTTTAAAATTTTTAATATTGGATTCAGGCTTTAAATGTATGAATGTATTTTATTGTTGTGGTTACGATGAAATACAATACCAATACCGGCGATTCTATACAACAACATAAAATAAAATAAAATAAAACGGTCAACTACTTTGACCTACTGCAAGTATGTTAATCTCAATGGGTGCGATCTTTTTTTATAGAATGCTTTGTATGTTGCCTGACAAAGAAAAGCTGAGCATTCAGTGACCTGGTAGCAGCGATTTCCGCCGCTTTGCACGAGACTTTTGTTCGTAGTAAATAAGCTAACAGTGTTGCTCAGTTTTTGTTATATTTATAAAGATTTTGTTCGACAGCTGAAGGCGTTTCCGCTGTCCTTCTGTCATTTTTGTGCCTGTGAAATGTCCCGGGGGTGGGGGCATTTGATCACCTGAATGGACCCTTGTGTGGGACATTTGAACGGCATTTTGGCCCGGGTAGGGGGGAATTTGAACAATAATTTTCAAAAAAGTCAAATGCCCGGGGGGTTGCCCGGGGGGGGCATGTTGAAGCTTCGATTTGACCGATACATTACTTCTCACTTAGGGTAAAATTGTGACTTAGGAGAGGGGGAGGTAGTCAGTTAGCCAGAAACTTCAATTGATCACACTGATCTACGGAGAGGCTCACAGAGCGCATGGCCATATACTAGGTGCTAGTAGCATGCAAGACCATAAGTGTGAAATATCAACCCACTATTTATGGCCTTGTTCGCCATGAATTTCTACTCACTTCAGTGGATAGTCTGGATAGAGCGCCCGCTCGGTGTCGGGGACTCGAGTTTTTTTTTTCCATGCTCGTGACATGCTGATTATCATCTTCCATATTCATTCACCAACGTCAAAATTAACCTCATTTCTTTATTTTATTCAGCACAAACCTTGTTCTAGATTCTCACTCTACACGACGGTGACGAGAGAAGACGACATACGACTGGGAAAAAACTACTCTTACTCTGAAAGTATAATGGGGTTCATACAGATTTTTGGATACTAAATTCCAGCCTTTTTTGAAAAAGGGGCAAGGGGGGGGGGGGGGGGGGGGGGGAAAAAAATTTTTTTCCTTTTCTCCCCCCCCCCTTATTTAAAATTTTTCCCCCCCCCCCTTAAAATTTTTTGGACCCCCCCCCCCTCCTTGGTTTTTTTAAAACCCAAGATGGCGGCAAACAGGGTTTCCCAAAAAAAAAACAAGGGACCCCGCTCAAAAAACACCCTGTTTTGAGGGAAGAGGCACGTTTTGCACCCACCCCCCCCACAAAAAAAGAAAGGTAACCACGCAAGTCAAAAGTTCTTTTTTAGTATTAAGAATGTTGGGTGATGTTAAGGTTTGTTTGGACGAAAGTAGTTTTTGTTTGATAAAAGGGGGGGGGGGGGGGGGGGAGGGGGGGCGGCGGGAAAACGAATTTTTTCCTCTTCTTCCCCCTCCTCTATCTTAAACTTGTCAGCCTCTCCCTTGAAATTAGTTTGACTCGCCCCAGCTCTCTGGTAGTTTTAACATCCAAGATGGCGCGATAGCAGTGTTCCCGAAAAAAAAATCATGGACTACGCTGCAAAATACGCCTGCTTTGCAGGCTAGAGCGCCTGTTGCATCCACCCCTCCCCTAAGCCAACATTAACACTTACTTCTCATTTAGGTCAAAATGTTGGCTTAGGGGAGGGGTAGGTGGGCGGTTTTCTAGAAACGTACAATGATCCAATTTTCCATACCCATTGTAACTATTAAGGTATAGAATATTCACTGGAGTCAGCAAAAATAAATGATCACCAAAATAACAGAAGTAGAATTCTAACTTTATTGTCAAAAAAAACTGTAAACCTAGCTGAGCTATACCTTTGAGCCAAATCAAAAGCCATGGTCTGTAGTCTATCGCGTGGAGATTGCAAACCACTGGGAGAAGCAACTACCTGAATTAAAAAACAAAAGGGCAAAAAACTGAAACATGTTACAACCAGTCAAGTGCCTGCGTATTGACGATGACCCTAGCCTGTTCCACAGACGAACCTAACCTCTGGTTAAGTCCCTCTGCTAAACAGCCCCGAAATCCTTGTTCTAGGCCCCCACCTGTGTACCAGGATTTGAGTACGCGCCATGATTGGCCTGTTAAAAAAGCCATTGTCGATCTGCCAATCAGGTTGAAAGGAAATTCGAAACGTATTTCCGGTAATTCGTTGAACCGTTGTGAAACAAGGATTACGTACGTTACTAACCGGGGTTAAATTACGTCAGCGACGCAGGCTACGGTGACACTGCCGGCTGATTTTTAAAATCATTATACGTTTCTGGGAAACTGCTCACCCACTCCTTCCCTACGCCAACATAAAAACACTTACTTCTCACTTAGGCCAAAATGTTGGCTTAGGGGAGGGGTAGTTGGGCAGTTTCCCAGAAACGTATAATAATCTGAGTTTTCTTCCCTGGAAGTCACGTCCATAACAATAGAACTCAACTCTGTGACAAAAATCCGTCCAAAGATGAAATGTAAAAGCATATAACCTCCAGTTACTCCAACAGTGATGTGATAAAGTTAAAGGGGCACGGCTGTAATCTTACCTGGCTCAACAACTTGTTTAATATTTCCAAGGCCTTTTCATGACTCTGTAAAAAAAAGGTCCATATTATAGTTAAGAAAGTACCACAAGCACTCTACAAATAAATACATCTCTTGAACTGTTCAAGTTTCAGCATGCTTGATTTGTCCTCTAGTGACAAGTATCAGCTGCACTCAGTCCTTAAGTTATAAGGGTTTGTAATCAATAGCTTTTTTTTTCATTTTATCATGCTTCCACCGGTTGCGTACTTTTGCAGTATTACAGCAGAAAAACGATACAACAGTGTTGCAACTAACCCTAGCTTCTCAAGACAAATTAATTCACAACCGACTGATACTTTGATTATTAAAAATATTATCAATACAATGACCATTAAGGTGTAATGCCTTTTGAACTGGCAGGAGTAGTTAAGTTCACTTACCAACAGTATAAAAGAAGTTCTTGCATTACATGTACACTGTAATTTTACTTTGCATATGAAATCAGAAGTTGAATGCCTACAGACTGTACAGTAGTGTACCTTAGCTAGATCAAAGAGATTAACAGCCTCTTCTGACAGCCCTTTTTCAGCTGAGTCCTTTGCCACATGTTCAATTATGCTCTGGGTATCTTTGTGAAACTTGTCAATACAACCAGGCTACAAAACCGAAAGAAAAATAATTATAAAACAATGCAAAGATGATATGTATATTCTCGTTGAGAAAATCTGCCATAATTATCCATATAGCTACTTTTGCAAAAGATGGCTGACAGATATTAAAACTGTCAACATCGGTAGAGAAAAAAAAAAGCCAACATACAAATTTAAAGAATTCCTGTATTTAATTTTTTGAATATGCAATTATTCTAATATATTGCAGAGAAAGTAAACATATTTTAACACTACTATCATTAGTTAGCCGAGTATACTCTTTTTTTACACATGAGAAGCGGGCTGAAGACTTCTATTCTTTAATAGAATTAAAAAAGCTGTTTTTACCCTCCTTTTGCCATCTGGTTCAAGTCGTCCAAGTAACATTTCAAACTACCGAGAGAAAGGCAAGAAAGAGTAATTCATACTTACTAAGACTGATTGATTAACTGGAAGCAAAAATTATAATGATAATACATCTTAGCACCACAAGCCAGGCGCCCTGTGAACTGCATATGCAAGTATTTACTAGAGTGTATTGATGAGCTTTTCTCTAGAACAGGAATAGAGTGGTTTTCGTTTGAGTGTCGTAAAACCAAAACCAAAGTAATTACTCTGGCCAATCACATAGGACACAGACAATACATTGAACCAATCAAAACTCGAAGTAATTACATGTGGCTGACGCAAAGCGCGGGAAAATGCATGCGAGCGCGTCACAATTGGCTTTGGTTTTACTTCTGATTGGATGAAAAGGTGGCGCGAATCTTTTAAGCCAATCGCATCGTGTAGAAAGTGCAAAACCAATTACTTCTCGACACTCAAATGAAAACCGCTCTAATGGCAATCATGAGTATAAACCAAAGGAAGGAAAAAACGAAGAAGCCATTTCTGGTTCATTTCCCGGGGCCACTGTATCAAAACGAAGTTAAGTGCTCAGCCTTTGATATGGAAATGATTTTTCATTCTCATGCACATAAAACTTATTTTCACAAGAAAGGTTGTACACTTGGCCTCAATTTGAAACTGAGGGTTTTTGGAACTCCGAAGTGGCCTATTGAGCCAAGGATACATGGACAATACATTGCACTACAACACATACATCAACACTAAATAAGAGCTTGGACATTTATGTTTTGATCTGAAAAAAACAATGTTTATTTTTTAAAAACAGTACTTACCTCCCGAGTTTCTAATACCAATTCACTGATACAGGACATAAACAGGTCATGCCCATGCGGACCTTTCATTCCTCTTAAATAACAAAAATATTTAAAGGCATCAATAAACATACTTTTATGAACATTTTATGCAAAACGAAGACTTGCACAGCACAGAGATAAGGATTGTTACTAAAAATAAGCAGGTAACTCCTTATAAATGCTTTATTCACATTAATCAACATTTCAATCAGACATTATGACATATCATCAAAGAATGATCCGTAGAAAAACTCTTAGATTATTTTAAGTAACTTGTAGTTAGCAAAGAAGTCTTGAAGTCACTCAGATAAGCCAGGTGTTATGCATGATAAGGGGGATGGGATGGGGTGGGGTGGGGTGGGTATTTAGAGGGGTGCTCTTGAGACTAATGGTGAAGAACATCTTTGGATTTGCTTAGCTGAAGTGTGTATTATTGGAGAGTCCATTATAGTAATCTTTTCATGAGACGAACGTTGACTGTAAGAGGAACGTTTGTTTTTTTACCTCAACAAATAAAAATACTGGAGAGCCTCACGAGGATCTGTCACTTCAAATTTCCGAGTGTAGGACATAACGAGACGTGCAAAATTTAACAGTCTGCTGGGAGTTGGATACCCTGATGCTGTTGTCACTGTGAACAAAGGAATACTGTTAAGCATCACAAGGCAGAAATTTTGAGCCTTATAGTATTAAAATAATAGTATATTGTTTTCTAGATGGGGTGGAGAGGAAAATAACTTTTTAAACACGGTTTTTTAAAGTGTTAAAAGCACACTAAATGCACATCCCACGTTGAGTTTAGAACAGCTGTCTGCATGTAAGAAGGAACCTTTATTTAACAAAACAGTAAGAGCTTTGGCAGGTTATTATGCTGTTACTAATAAATGGCTATAACATTTGTTACAATGGTTGCCAAGTTGGTGGTTTTTGTTTCAACTGTTATTAATTTTTATTGTAGTCATCACAATATTAATCAAAACAATCAAAACTTTGGGTACAGTTTGTAAAATGCTACTTACAGAGTTGAGCCTGAGTTGACTCTGGCAAGAGGAGAAGCTGCATTTTAAAGAGAGCAATAGCAAAATGAACAGCATGACTCCTGAACGCCTCGACACGCGACAAGAACTCTATTGCCTGCAAGAGAAATGATGATGTAGTTAGATAAGTCGGGGTCAGGTTAAACCAAGCGTTATGTTACCTTAAATCAACATGTACATCTCAACTGCACAATGATGCTTACATTTATGGTCTTTTTATCGCAACATTTAAATCAAACTACATGGATCCCAGAGTAACAACTTAACCCTTTAAGCCCCAGTATCCACATACAAATTCTCCAAACTGATCTCCATACATTTTCTTAAGAAATTAGTTGAGAGAATTTGATCATAGATCAAGGCATTTTCTCTCAGGTGATCATTTTATTAATTCTCACAACTTATCTCTTGACATTGTATGGATATTGTTAGGAGAAAATTGATCTTGGTCACTATTGGGACTTAAAGGGTTCAGGAAGAAGAACTGATCATAATCACAATTTTAAGTAATAACAGTTGAAAACCACAAGGTGCAGTCAAAACTCTATTAAGTAAATGAGCTGAGGGTTTAACAAAACTTCACTTGAAATTTTTCTTCCAAATAAAAACAGTATTTAGTGGATCTTGGACCAGTTCCTCGAAAGATGGTTAAGTTTAATCCAACATTAAGCCAAATTTTAAGCACGGTTTTCTCGTCTGAGAACATGTAACTCCAGGCCAGCTTACAAAATACCATTGAGTCTTTGCCCAGAGATGCAGAGATGATAACACAAAATGTTTAACTCTAAGCAATGCATTGGAAGGTGAATAAAAAAAGTGAAACAAAATTTTAATCCTGGATTAGTGCTAATTGGCCTTTAAGGAACAGGGCCCTGAAGAACTGAATTGGAAGATTAATGTTACTATTAAGACTTCAGTATGTTAAATGTAAGTACTTTACACCCCTAGTTTCGATTCTGAAGACAAAATCAAGGAGGTTCACTATTGAAATAAAATGTCTTTGGCAGTATTTGGACATGTTACTAATTTATTTTCAGGTATACAAGAAGATAATGGAATTTTTTTGATTGTTATTATTTTTTTTTGACTATTCAGTTGAGTTCTGTAGACAATAATGACCACACCCAAGTCAATGAACTGACTGACTTTTACTTTTGAGCCTGCAAAACTATAAAACCTCCAGTGCACAATTGTTAAGATAGGGTTTCCACTACAATGTAAACTCACAGCTTCAAACTGGCCAGTTAAAAACAACACTTCAAAGTATAAAAGAGGCTTTTGATATGCACTGAAATGAGCTTCACCTAGTGAAGGAAACAATAAACAAACAAACAAACCTTTAATCATTTTTACAAAGTGGTTACGATGGATCCCTGTTAATGTGACCACCATTGAGCCATAAAATCCCGGTCATAATTACAAGGTGGTGGCATTGACGGGGTCTTCAAAATAATAAAATGACTCATTGACTTTTACGTTGGGGTCGAAAGAATATGGTCACAATAACCAGGTGGTCGTATAAATGGGTTGGTTGCAAGGCAGCATTCTACTGTAAAATTTTTAATTGTGCACAGAAACCCTGGTCATGAAAAGTGTTTGTTTGTTTTTATCTTTTATTCATTTATCTATTTTACTGTTGTTATTTTTTTGTTTTTTTTCATCAGAGGCAAGCTTTAAAGAGAGGCTACAACTAATGAAGAAACAACTATCAACTATTAGGAAATGGCAGGGGATGAATAATGTTTATTTAAACTTCCCTCTCCTATGAAAGCCTTGCTGACCTGCCATTGTTGATTCGCCAGTAAGGGTAAGTAGGTACACATAGGTCGGTACATATTAGGAACCTATTTCAGTTTGGATTATGGCAATAATTCAATAAGGCTGAGTATGATATGAATTGAATAATTCCTACTTTGAAAACAAGCTCAAAAAAGATTCATGGAAGTAGCTAAGAAAAAACTAAGCAGGCTTTTTTATTAGTCAAGCCTGCTTTTTCACTCAACTGCATCTTTAAAACTACTTCATATCTTTGTTTTCTAGAGCAATTTGAACTGGTGGTAAGGTCTTTTTCAGTTGGTGAAATTAGCCGGCAGCTGACTCGTAGGGACATGCCTGATGATGACAACCTTCATTTGCCTATTGCTGTTGAAAAACCCTTAAATATATTTTTCATCATTAAATTTCTCACCAAATTGTTCCAACAACATGGTTTGTAGCCTCTGGAATGTCAGGCTGTCATGAAACCCTTCTTCTTCATCAACTGTGATCTGATTGAGCTAAAGAATCGAAAGAAAGATAAAATTAATGACAATGGAATAATTAGGTAAGATTAGTGGCAACAGATTAAAATAGGAGTTAAAAAAAAAATTTATGTTAGTTTTGAGGAAAGGGGAAAACCATAGCAAAGTATAACCTAGACAAATGACAAACTAAACCCTTTGTACACATGATCCATAATGATTAAGACAGAATCCATCAGAAAATTGAGTAAAATTATTTTAATTATCAGTGGACAAAGACCTTGTACCAGAATAATTTAAAGCATATTGCATTCTTTTTTACATTTTTCAAGGGCTATAGATGTAATTAGTTATGTGTAGTAACACCAAAGAAAATTTCTTATGGGAGTCCGAGAAAATTAATGCCAAAATTCACAAAATGACATCTTGCAAATGAAAGTTTCAAAATTTAACATTTGTTTTCAGAATTTTTGTGAAATTTGACATTCTTTTCTCGGGCTCCCCTAAGAAAATTTCTTTCATGTTACTACACGTAACCAATAATAATAACTAATTATATTATTACATCTCTAACACTTGATATAAAAAAAGAATGCAATATTCTTTAAATTATTCTGGTTCAAGGTTTTTGTCCTCTGAAAATTAATATTACTCAATTTCCTGGAGGATTCCGTCTTAATACCTTTCATGACATAAATTTAAATCCTTTACTAGGTAAATAGATGTGTATGTACCTTAAGCCAAAGATAATCTTCAGTTTTATTCGCAACTTCTTGGTGGGAATCTGACAGCACATCACAATGACCAATCAAACAATAAACAGCCCTGGTCAGCAAAGGAATATTTAATTACCTCTGTGGTTTGAACTTTAACTGGTCAAAAATAACATAGCACCTTCAAATTGACAGGGGTTTACAGTTGATGTTACACATATACATGTACTTCAGTCATACCATAATGTACTGAAGACAATAAACAGCAGCTCTACTGGTGTTTCAAACAAATCCTGTGATAGTTGAACATTTCTTTTGCAAGCAATTCTTGTTTCCCAATAAACTTATATATACGTTGTGACTGCTGCAATTATTTCTTTTTTTACCTTTTGAAGGGATCCTGACTTGTACGGATAGAGCGTCGATATTGAAGCCTTAGTTTGCTTTCAGAGCTTGGACTTAGTCTGAGAGGAACAGGAAACAACAATTTTCTTTTTTTATTATTTTCAATAAAGTGGCCAAATAGAAAAGTAGACTTGGAAAACAGGGATGCTCAATGCAGGTCATGAATGACTTCCTGCCGGTAAATTTGTACATACAGCCCGGCAGCTTATCTGAATACTGCATATTACATGGGAAAACAATAATAATAACCTGACAATACCCACAATAATAAATTACATGTGTGTCCAGCAAGGTTTGAAAATAGTGAGTTTTGTTCTTAAACATAAACACGAAAGACCTATTTCTAGATAGGTAACAATAAGCCCCCAGGATCGTTACTCGGACTCGTAAACTTTGCGAACACATCATTTATTTGACCTTCACTGGCTTCCTGTTAGTTATCATGTTGTTTTTAAACTTATTTTGTCAGTTTTCAAATCACTTAATAACCTTTCACCTAGCTATCTAGCGGACAGTTATCAAAGGCCTTCCGGGAGCTTGTGGTCCGCATCTCAGCAGCTCTTAGACCAACCTCGAAAACTCACGGGGAAAAGACTTTTTCAGTGTGCCCCCCTAAACAGTGGAACTCACTACCATTAGCTAGATTTGCACAAGTCACCATCTTTAGCCAGTTGAAAGAAAGGACTGACAACATATCTTTTTACGCAATTTTTAGAGAGTAAGTCAGTACTTTTGTAAAACGTCTTTAATATCTGCAGATCTATCTATACTTATAGAATGTATATTTAGTTTTTTGCATGACTTATCATTATATATAAACTTTAAAGGCAAAATAATTTTAAAATAGATGAATTCTTGTTTCCTTCTCTTGTTCTTTGTGAATTGCAAATAGATTTTAATATATGTTATTTCATTCTCGAGATATAATTTTTTTTCCTCTTTAACATTGTTAAACACCATGTGCTCAGGATATGAGTGCTATAGAAAGAAGCCATTTTTACTATTATTAATTTTAACCAGTACGAAAATAAACTCAGTATAGTCATTCATAATCGGCTCAAAATGTGAAGAAAAAATGTGGCTTTCGATAACAAATTTATCACCAAGAAGAACTTAAAATTCACTTAAACCTGTCGTGATTCAAATTGTACACAATTTCCCCTAAAAAATGGCAATTTATTCTAGTAGATACTTACAGTCCATGAAAAGACACACCCGCCACCTTGAAAGGCTATTTGGGACTGAGTACGCGTCTGAAAACATCTTCCTTGGATTTTCCATTTAGTTGGCATGCTTTTTTCATTGGTTTCAATAAAAATACAATTTCTTTTTCATTTTTATGTCCTTCATGTGATTTTCATCAAAATAATGACAAAAAAAAGGAATTAATTTTTTTAGCACAGGGCACCCACCATGGTACATCATAATTGCTATATCATTAAGTCGACTTGTTTTAGTCATTGGTTTCAATAATAATAGTATTAATACAGTTTCTTTTTCCATCTACTTCCCTTTTTATGTGATTTTCATCAAAAAATGGCAAAAAACAAGTGATTGCAATTTTCACCACAGGGCACCCATCATGGAAAGTTGTTGGAGAACTTCAGTGAGCAGTTGCTGCAAATCCTGATGAGGAAGCTGTGGGCACCGATCCTAATATTGACTAACATACCCTAAGCTACAACCACGCAAAGTTTGGTGCTTTTGTCCGCTCTGTATAGATCTCGCCATAATTTTGCACTAAGCCACCGGACTACAACAATTTTACATTGAATTGACCATTCCATTAACCAAATCTGGCTAACAATTCTGAAGAATCTTACAAATCAAGATTAATATTTTATGGTAACACCCATTTGAAAGAATACTACATCAGGGTTCTCAGTAGGTTTTCTGTCAGACGGCCCAGAATTACTTATAGGCGGCTAAACTTCAGCCCGGAGGGCTGAGGCCAGGCCCATAGGGCCGAGCTACTAGGGGGGTCTGGGGGCATGCCCCCCCGGAAAATTTTGAAATTCTAGGTTCGCAGAGATAGGTTTTCCTGCATTTTGGTGCACAAACTTTGGTCACGCAGGCCAATCGTGACAACCGTAGAACCGTAGAACAATTTATGACAGTAGTCTGTAGTAGACTCAATTTGAAAGCGCGTTAGTGGGTTCCTAGCGGAAAATTCGAGAATACTTCTTGAATGCCCATTCATACTTTATTTTTAAAAAAATCGCGCACAAAGGCAAATTTCATAGCCAGAACAGCCGGCTACTTTCGTCTCAACAGGCGGCGGAATTCGCCGGTTGCCGGCTTCTACTGAGAACCCTGCTACATGAATGGAACTCTATTATTGACAGGGTAAGTTCCATTTCTTTAAAACTATCCTTTGAGTTTCCGGTCAGGAATGGTCCCTCACTTGCTGAGCTAAAATTTAAAGAGGACACTGCTTGGAGACATTCTTTGAACTCATTCAGTTTGCCTTACATTGTAATAAAGAAGGAGAGCTTAAAGTGTGAATCCAGTATTCAGGACCAGGCTGTTATGTGGTGACTAATATAACAAGACTTATATGTGCCATACAGGAAAGATAAACACTACAACACTACAAAAAACTAAAAATACATAAAAGAATGAAATAAAATAAATAAATCATAAAGCTGTCCTGAATTGGGTAGTACAACTACATGTACAATGCAATGAAAAACAATATTATTTATATTACCTTCCTTCCTTGCTCTTCATGTACTCAGCAAATAGGTCTCTAAATTCTCCTAAATGCTGCCTGCAATACAAGGGAAACAAAAACTGCTAAAGACAAGTAAACGGGTTTCTCATTAATATGCTTTTACAGTCAAACCACCATGTGCAACCACCTCCCATAAGTGACCACCAATCCAAAACACCAAAGTTTTCCCGGTCAAAACCTTACAGTTAAAACCTCTTGTAAATGACCACCCCCTCTAAGCGTTCATGACCACGTTTCAGGGCTGACAGTTTAATATTTTCCCCTGCTTTTAACCTCTTGATGCATACTCTGATCTCTATGTTCGTTGTACGTAATATGCTATATGAGTATAAGATGAACCTTTTTCCATAAAGTAGATGTGTGATGTGTGCAGATCTCTTTGTACAAGAGACCCCTGAGGTTTTATTCTGGTAAAAACGACCAGGTCTGATCCCTCAAGTGGCCACAAAGTCTTCACATTTTGGGTGGTTGCTTACAGGAGGTTTAACTATTTTATTTGACTACTGTATGCAACAATGTAATACTTATTATTAGAAAATGATAATAAGATCATCTCTTTCATAATTATGATCTAAAGCTTATTGTCAAGTTTACTGTCATGACAGAGTGAGAGACACATTGAATTTATGAGCAGCAAGGAATACTTCACAAACTACATATCAGGAAAATTCCCACAGTTTCATCCAAGACCATGATCTGAACAGTTCCATTAAGTATAAAATCATTCAAAATAATTACTAACGGTACATGCTTCACTGCCTGTAAAGCAGCCCTTGCATCCCCACATCGCAGACAATAATAAATTAAAGGCCACAAAGGAGTTCCATCAATTTCACCATCCTGTTTGAAATGCACACACAAAAAACAAGAATTTTGTTCATCAATATTATTTTATTATTCTATTGTAAACACAATTAAAAAACTTGATGCATATTAGCTGTTTCACATGAGAATAATCAGAGCTATCCACAATCTGGCCAGAAGCTCTAATTGGTTGATGTGGTATTGTTAGCATTACACCCTAGTGCTTATGAATCGCAAAAAGAGGCACATAGTCACGAAGATCAAATAACGTAAAACAAACAGAGCTACCATTAGAAACACTCATATCAGAGCAATATTATATGTCCTCTTAAGATAAAAAATTAAATTTTGCTTTTATAATGCCATAAGGATGGCATATTTGAGGCCAAAATGTGTAATGGCTTTTACATGTCTCTAAATTGCAAACACTTGTGGCAGGAGATGAGATAAGGAGTGGAGAGGAGTGATGTGAGGCAGACGTGGGGGAGTAGTGGCATGAGGGTCATTCATGCATAATTATACAAACACACCTCCAATCCTTGTAGTACTGGTGGAAGTTTAATCTTAAGAAAACTCTTGACTAAATGGAATGTTCCTGGAACACCTCCTAACATAGCTTGTTGTAGATTGTCATACACAGTATCCTGGACAAACTTCAAATATCTGAGAAAAAAGCAAGACTTGATGATGAGACGTCAATGTGTGTTAAAACAAAAGTGAGTAACGCTACTCTAAACTTCATGACCGAAAGTAAGCTTACCACCAAACGTATTGCAAACAAGTTTAATATTTTTAAACAAAGAAGTGAAATATGGTATACATTGTTACCAGTACATTAATTTGTTAATGTTCACTGTTAGCCCCCATTTGCAACTGTTGTCAAAATAATTAAAGGTAACAGTGCACACGAGCCAAAGGCCAGTAAAAATTCATACACCTGGGTAATGAGAGTTATCTAAGAAAACAATACAACGGGTGAGGCTTGAACCCCGGACATCCAGATCCCGAGTTATAGGTGTTGACCGCTCGTCTACACACACCTCCAGACAGTTGTAATAATAATGTCAAAGGGAAAAAAATCAAGTTTCCCTCATTCTCTGCAATATTAATAAATTTCCCAGAATCACAATAAAATAATTTCTGGACTGATTCTCCTAACGTAAAATCTTGACCTTTGCAGCGTGCAAAGAAAGCAGTGTCCGATAGCCTGCAAGTTGAATTCCTCAAAATACTTCACTTGCCCGTTGGGCGAGTTAAGAACAGAATTCACTAGCCCGATAGCAATATCCACTAGCCCTGGGCTATTGGACACTACTTTCTTTGCATGCTGATTAAATTCATGAATAACTTCAGTCAGTTAAACCATGCATCAAAATCAAAATAAGATTTTTAACATAAATGACTGTTACACCTGTATTTTCAAATTAAATAAATGTATTTTTACCTTCTTTCCAGGAAACTTCTGGCTAGTCTTATAAATGCGACTTGAAAATCAAGTGAAAATCTGAAATAAATTTTATTTAAATCCAAGGATCAGAAATGAGAAAGTGGTAAACATGTAGTTATTCATAGGACACTAGGGACATACTGGTTTAACCTGGAAACTCTTTTATCTAAAACATCTACATACAGAGGTATGATTGCATGCAGGTTGGTACACGTATCTTTGGTTCCAAACGATCTGATTATAATAGAGAGATATCCAAAGATTAGACCTTTTTACCTATACCATACAGCAGCCATATTGAAATTTATTACATTTAAGGAGTATTATGGGATGCCCAGGGGGCACTCACTCAGTATTTACACCCAAAAAGGGAACTTTGCTGTATATTTCCAAGGAAAAAGGCAATCAATATTACATCCAAATACAGCAAAACGATCTTTTTTTCCCATTACAATTACTTTGTAGGAAAACTTCAAGAAAAATCTGCCCGAAAAGAGCGCGTAAATACTGAAAGAGTTAATCAGATCATGCTCATGCCCTGAGCATCCCATAATACTCCTTACATCTAATTAATTCAATATGGCTGCCATATCAGTAAAAAGGTGTATTGGAGGTGACTACATGTACATAGTCTCATGATACTGATGCGGCATTTTCGTTTTTGATCTGTTTGTAACAACAATATTTATTACATGACGGTAAGATTTTCACCTGATTTTCTCAGCCATGGTCAGAGAGGACACTTGAGACTTTTGAAGCTCTCCACCAAGTTCTTTAATGAAGATCCACATATCTCTGATAATCTAAATGGTTCAAAATTATATTAAAACAAAATTAATGAGCAAAATGTGTGGCAATGTGCATGATTAGTATTGGGTATTTAAATCATCAATAAGAATGATAATATGCCATAAACAAAACTAGTAGACTACAATAATTGTTGTAGTACAATCAACAAATATCATTGTGCATTAAATGACCCATTTTGGTAGAGAGCATACAGTACATATAATAACTTAAAAGCTCTTTTAATACCCCCTCTGTCTATCAACTCAAAACCATTGATTGGGAGTTGGTTTTTGTGATACATGTAAGACCTCTGTCACTCTAAAACCCCCTCCAGTGAAATAAACCCTCAAACATGTAGAAAATACATTAGAGCAACATGGCACATATTCTATGAATCTCAAAACCACTGGCCACAAAAGGCAAGCAGTCTGCATTGCTGCAATATTAATGTTGATGGAGGAAAAATTCAACAACAACATTTTTTGTGTTCAAAGGCACTGGATGTGAGGTCAATCTGCTGAATGAAGAAAAGAGTGACCCCTTTCTCTATTACGCCTGAAACATTATCACATTGTAACTAACCCCCCTTCCTGACTCCTGTGGCTTAATAGAGTTTTGTAACAGTAACTTTTACACAGTAGTACATTTTAGTCTGGACCTAATCTACCTGACGTGATTGACTGTAGTAATACTTCAGGTACATGCACCAGTGGTGGATCAAGACCTTCAGAAAAGGATGGGGGGATGGGGGGGTGGGGGGGAAGGGCTCTGCTCATCCAGATCCTCAGAAAAAGCAATGGGGGGGGGGGGGGGGGGGTCCACCACACTTTTTTCAGGTATTTGTGGCGGCGGGTGGGGTCTAGACAAGAGGGGGTGGAGCGCCCACCCCCCCGGTCTGGCCAAGCAATGGGGGGGGGGGGGCTAGTCTCCAAAAATTTTTTTCGGCTTTTTGGGCCTCAGTTTGGTCTAAAAATAAGGGGGGAAGGCAGGCCCCTCCCCAGGATCTGCCACTGTGTACATTGCATGTGCATAATAGTCATGGTTAATTTGCACAACAAATTTCACTTAGAAATACCAGTATGCAAAATATGCATTCAGTCAAAGTCAGTAGTCTCCCTCGAGTTTACTTACTGGATCATCAAATCTGTCTACTATTTCAAGAAATCCATCAACCACATTGTGCCTTGCTAATTGAATGAGAGCTTCATTGTGAACATAAATCTACAACAAAATAAATAAAAAAACAACATTAAACTAATAAGGCTAGCAGATTCAATATGCCAGGTTGTAACATAAAAGTGTTTGCAAATTTGCAGTCTACACACCGTCCAAGGCCTACAGTCTTTTGTCTTGAAAGGGTGGGATTACACCTCTTGTTTTGATAGCTCAAGTCATGAAATACTATTTTTATCTGCTGGCTATCTTGAGTTCTTAGGTTTGTACTTCCCCAGTAATAACGTCAAGAAGACAGAGAAAACCAATGACCTTTTGATGTAATGCAGTATTATTTGTTCCTCTGTTTCACATAATAAAGATTGCTTACAGTTCATTGTTTTACTCTAAATCCCTCGAGTTAGTTACTCCAGCAAGCACATTCATCTAACAAGGTGATTAGGGGAGCTGCTCCAAATTTGTCCCAAATGATCTTGCATTTAATTTTTTTCATATAATAAAATTTATTATATGTGAAAATTTATTATTAATGATGATTCAATTTACAGGACAGGAAAAAAAAAAACTTTTTACACACAAGCTTTTGATTCCATCGCGGAATCCTTATGAATGAATCTTTGATTGACGGATTTGGGCATTTTGTTACGTGATCTTTACTGTAAATCACGTGACAAAACGTCTCGATAGATTGCGGGGAGCTTGTAACCAGCGTATCTGTTCAATGTTGCCCAAATCCATCACCTGATAAAGGTTCTGCGATGGTATCAAAAGTTTGTGTGTAAAAAGTTTTTTCTTTATATCCTGTAAATTAAATCGTCATTTATTATATCACTATCACAGGATAAAGTAACTATTTTTTCGCTAATTATTTTTTTTCCACGAACTTCTTGAGCATGAGGGATTTTGAGCTCAAAGAGAAATTAACTGCGAGCATTCAGCAGAAAAAATGGTTCCCAGCCCTATCTTTTGGTCTTACATTTCTCCAAAACCAATAAACCAGCTCTTTATTAATATATTTGCCCACAGGAGGCCTTACATCAATATTACCTGTCTGGCATAGGCTAGTTCAGTCGCATCAAGGGCACTCCTCCCTTGTAAGTTTAATGAACTTGTGGTAAACACCTACAGAATAAAACCAAAACAATGAAAAGAAGAATGCAGTGTGTACTGATTGAATGATTTCAAGTGGGATTCTTGTCAATACAATCACTGCTGTTTCTTTTTGCCATATTTTGTCATTTTATTGCCAAAAACATATACTACAGCTGTGGGTGGCTCTGTTGTTATTACAAGGGTATTGAACTATGACAAACTTTTTGTCATAACTATTTTGGTTTTAACATGCATTATGGCTACAAAACTATGACAAGAACAAATCTACTTTATACATGTAGGAGGGCAGGGGCAGTTTGGGAGGAGGCAAGTTTCTCTCCCTCCACGCTAAAGACTCCAGGCCCCCGTCCCTGCAGTGCATGAGAAACCAAGTTGGGCGCTTATACTTTTCACAGAAAATTGTATTGAGTGAAATATTTTGATGATAACATTTACTAATTTATGGTATCAGTTTTTATGGATATACAGTGTGCATGTACAATTATTTTAAAAACTAAGTATGCCAAATAAATTTCAGACAATTGGTGGAACAAAGGTAAAACGATATGTATGTAACTAGATTAAGTCCTTTAAATTTCAACTATGACTTACCTTTTCATTATCTTCGAAAGGACCACAACTTACAGTGCAACATTTCACAAGAGAATTGTAACAATACACTAATAACATACATGTTCACGTACCTCTGTCTCCACAGCAAAGTCTAATGATTCCTGCCCTGCTCCCAGAAGTGAATTCAGGATTTTCTCTTTCTCCTTTTCCCATTCATTTTCCATGCAGGACCACTGGTGCCTTTCAGCCTGGTTGAATGTCTTATTGTTAACAACAGAATAAAAGAAAATGCTTTAACTGCACTTCTCAAACTCATTAAATAATAACACAAAGGAAATTAAAGTTTAATGAGTGTTTGGAAATCAGATAAATAATTGTTGATATTTGCATCCTTAATTTCTTGTTCTAAATCACTGTGTTTGAGAAGCAATATCAAGCATTCAACAAAGTGTTTCATCACCAGATGAGACACCTTGAAGTTCGTCAAAAATACTCCACTGTATGTCGTATTTTCAACTCTCTTCTCAGTGTTTCATCTGGTGATGAAACACTGCGTCTCATGCTTTATACATGAAGCACATTTTTCTGGAGGTAAAACTAGAAGTCATAAAAAGATGACCGTATGAAGAAAGTGACCGGACTGAAAGTCAAGACTTTCAATCATGTCTTAATAACTCACACGCATAATATTATTAGCTTTAATAATCGTGTCATTGTGTCCAGAAAATTATGTTACACTGTACTTTTTCTGGGTACATGCAGTTGAAGTTGAAAAAACTCACTTTACACAATATGCAAACTTGTTATATGTTGTGGTTCAATTTTATCCTTGGTTTAAAATTTATTTTCCTTTGTTTCAAACTCATTATCATACATAACCATACCCAAAAACAAAGGGAAATAAAATTTAAACCAAGGATAAAATTGAACCACAACATATACAGCATACTAACATAGAGTATCACAAACATAAAATTAATGCACGGTATAGCGAATAATTCATAGAATTACTCAGTGCCTTATGTTAATGTTAGTAACCTTATTTTATGCCGGAAACATGGGAAGGTGGTTGCGTAGGTCCCCACGCCATGGACTCGTGTTACTCTGATGAATTGCCATTCTCATGCAGCTAATAGCTTGCCTACCTCTAGCGGTAAAAGAGAAATTTCAACTTACATTTTTTCTAGCTTCCTCTATGGCAGCTAAGATGGCATTTTCTCTCTCATTTCGAAGAAACCCCTGTAAGAAAATCAAGACACAGAGACATTAACACTGACTAGTACACACATGTAAATGGATGTCAAGGTCAACAAGTCTGAACTTGTGAGCTTTTGTGAGGTGCAGAGTATATTTTTGAAGGTATACAGTCATGTACGGTACATGGGTCAAGGCGTGATTTATTTTTTTCTTATGACATAAAACTCACTCACACATTTTTAGAGTAAAGCAATTCAAAGACCTAAACTGCTGACTTGTTTACCTGAATATCAGTCTCTCTAACAGGCTCAAGAGGCTCAAATGTCTTAGCTGTGTCCAGACGATCAAGTTTTTCTGAAAGTCGTGGGACATCAAAGCCTTTGGTGCCCAGTAAAATTGATCTGCAATGACATTTACAGTAAATTATAAAATATGAAATGGGTTCTGAGTCAATAGCCCATGAGGCCGAAGACCGAATGGGCTATTGACTCAGAGGCCATGAGGGCGAGAGGAATAATTGTTTTAGTAAAATCCAACTTGTTGGTCAAAAATATCAAGACAAAACAACTTAAGCTAGCAAAACGCGATTCAGCCGCCATTGTTTTGGTTTTCAAAGCTGGCACTTTTCGCTACTGGTGGGCTATAACATATAGCCTAGTAGTAGCTCAACCAATCAGAATGCAGCATTGATAATAAACCCAGGGTTCGCAAATACGCCAAATTTGGCGTATTTTACGCCAAAATTTTTCTGATGACTCCACAGAGGTTACGGAGGGAGTCGCTTCGACTCCAGAAATTTTCGGTAACAAACACAGTTTTGTCCCTACCTTTTTCGCAACAAATACAATTTACGTTAATTATAAACGTTTTAAACCTTATTTAAATCATCAAAATTAAAGAATTATACTGCACGACAAAACGGGATGGGGGTAAATTACGATCAAAGTTTACTTGATGACCGCCATCATGGATTTGAGCTTTCCAGGTCAGCGGACCGCCACAGCTACTTCATGTATCCCTCACAATAGTGTATACATGCCAGGACCACGTGCTGGGAAGTCTGAAAATGGCTTTTTTCGTTGTGATACTTGACTCCAAATATTCCAAAATGACTCCAAAATTTGAGAAGCAGAAGTCACAGTGACTCCACTCATCAATAAAATTTGCAAACCCTGTAAACCACTAGTTGGCTTTTACTAAAATTATTTATTGTGTCCAACTTTTAAACAAATGCCACCCTCGAGTAAATGCCACAGTTAAGGAGTAAAATCAAGCTGATTTAACAACAGAATTGGAACGTCAGTTGACAACTGCATGCACAAATCAAACAACTTGGCTTGACAAATAGCAGAGTGGCAAATTGGGCACCGGAATTCAAATTTAGTCCTTTCTGCGCGCTTTTCCGACGTTCCTGTTCTGTAGCAAAATCAGCCTAATAAAGCGGCGTTTATTCGAGTAAATACGATAAGTAGCTCCCACTAACACACTTGCCACGTTTGTGCTTCGTAATAGATCATTTCTTTAGATCTTACTGTAACACAAACCGACACTACTTACGCTTTGACTTCAGCGTTATCTCCAGCAGCACCCGTAGTTTGCGTCCACAATCTCTGGCCCGCCTCGGCGAGTTGGTGAAGATTCCTTTCCACTCGCGGAAGCTCCCAGCCACTGTCCATGTCCGCTGTCAACTGTTCGGCCTGCTGGAGCAGGTCTCCAAAACTCGACGACATTTCGAAGGAAGGAAACGCTAAACTATGCTGCTTTCTCTTGAAACTAACTTTGGTTGATGAAAAATATCCACAGAAACGAGAAATTTCAATGTACAATTTTCGTAAAACCCGCCATCTTGTCTAACTTTTGCTCCATGTGCCTCAGTTAGAAGGGCGCATGACAAAATTTTTGACGCTGGATGTTAAGGACCTGGGCTCAAACCCTTTTTTTCCAAAAAAAAAAGAAAAAAAAAGGGCCAAATGAAAGAACGAATGTAAGGATGGAGAAAACACGTCAAAAGATAGTCTATATGATTGAAAGAGAGAAGAGATGAGTAAAAAGAGAAAGCGAAAGGAACGAAAGATGACAAGAAGGAAAATCAGCTGGGTAATCAAAAATGCAAGCGGTTCTATGGCAACAAAATTTGAATAGACGACGCTAGCGCAAGCGCACTGTTGCGGTAAACACTCTGGAATTTCAAAATGGCGCCCGGCAAGAAACAAAAAAAGCGATCAAAAGATAGCCCATCTGGTTTGGTAAACAAGATACTCTTTAGTTTATTTTTAGAGTAGAAGTGATAATAGATGGTTAAATATTAAATGTTATACTTTCAGAGCCGTATCGCGTCGCAGCTCATTCCAAGTGCCATTTTTGCTGCTGTACCAAGAACTCCGACAAATTTAGCTCAGACATGGCCAAGACGCACACNGGCAAGAAACAAAAAAAGCGATCAAAAGATAGCCCATCTGGTTTGGTAAACAAGATACTCTTTAGTTTATTTTTAGAGTAGAAGTGATAATAGATGGTTAAATATTAAATGTTATACTTTCAGAGCCGTATCGCGTCGCAGCTCATTCCAAGTGCCATTTTTGCTGCTGTACCAAGAACTCCGACAAATTTAGCTCAGACATGGCCAAGACGCACACCATCGCCAATCGCTCATGCTATAAGTGAAGCAGGTAATGTCGGAAGGGTGGTTCTGGGGGATTTTTCGAAGGGAGCAACGGCTAAACGTCCACCGGCTGAACTGCCGTCAAATCAAGGTGACGAGAATTCAGAAACTGCTGATGGTGAACGAGTTTACGAAAGTGCGTATGAATGTGTCCGAGATGGGGAATCTTTTGACAAGACTACAAAGTACTTCAGAATGTCTAGAAGAGAGAGTTCCTCTGGTGCAGCCAAAGAGGATCTGAACGTGGAAGGGGCAACAGGCAATGGGAGCTCAGCGCGGCAACCTTTTTATCATATTTTGGATCACGAGAAGGGTGAAGTTGTCGAGCCAGTATATTCTCGAGTGGATAAGAAAAAGAAAAGCGGATCGAAACAAGCTGACGAAAAAGAAAAGGAAGAGGTATTACCTGTAAAGCATGCTTATATCCTTACCTTGAACAACCTTTAATTAGCTACATGTACCTTCATGTGACGTCATATCTGAAAATAGTTGTTCCCACAAGCTGTCTCTACATTTAGCTAATTCATAAAATGTTCAGTACATGTAGTACTAGTTTGCCTTCTATTCCTACTAATTTTGGTGTGACACCTTTCACCTCTGGCCCTGCAGGCACTAATTTTTATACCTGTAGAAGTGTTTTCAAGGTTATGTTCATGCAATCGTGACGACCATTTTGCTAATTATAGTTTTTGTAAGTTGACACCTCTTAACAACCTGCCAGAAGTTTGACCAACAAAGTTTCCTTAATTTTGAAATCTGACTCTCTCTCTCTCTCCAAAAAAAACATATACTTTACAAAACCTGAGGGCTTTCAGAAAGTGCGTGCTTTTTACTTAGTACAGACTGTATATTATGGTAAATAGATGTCAACATTAAATCTAAATGACACTGGTGGGCCCAGCTGCATAAATCTTAATGTTAGACTCTGATTAGTGAAGTGCACCACTAATTTGTGGTGTGCTAGACCTTCCGACCTGTTAATAAAGTTGTGGAGTGATTTGATTGTTTGAGTTTATGTAACTACTAATGTCTGACATTTAGTCTAGTCATCTTAATGCTACATATATGATAGCCATTATGTTTTTGCAACTGCTCATGTGTTGTACACTATACATGGTATCTGGCTCTTCCCCCAAAGTCATCTCTCAGTCTCCTATAAATATTCAATGACTGCTTACAAAAATAAATATCAAGACATGACTGGGGACGAGTCAGACATGGCATATAGAATACTGTGTTATTGATTAAGATCATTTTCATTTATATGCAACAGAGAGAGTCACTGAGTGAGTACAGCAGTAGTGATGAACTGACAGATGTCACTAGTCAAGATGAAGAGAGCGTGACAAGTGGACCACAGACAAGAAGCCGTAGCAGGAAAGGAAGCAAAAAAGTAAAACATGATGAAAAGGATGCAGTTGACGGGATGAAAACATCTACAAAGAAATCTAGCTTGAAGAGGCAAACACCTGATACAATTCAAGAAGTCACTGAAGAAGTTGATAAGGAAGATGGGGAAGGTCCTCCACCCATCCCACCTTATTTAGGCAATTCAACCCCTGAGGCTCCTAAACGTAGTAGTAGAAAGAAAGGAAGGACTTCTGCACAGGATGAGCTGGATGGTCCAGGCCAGCCCCTTCCTCCAATACCCACAGATGTACCAGATAGCAGACTTACAGATGAGCAGAGGAGAGCTCTGAAAGTTGTAGAGAGACTCGGGTTTGAGGGAGTGTCAGAAAAACTTGCACTTAGTGATCTTTCGGAGGATGAGGATAGTTATATGTCACCTGCTGTCCCCAAATATACTATGGATTTTAATGGAAGGACGACATTTGAAAGGGAACAGTTCAATGATACCTTGCTAGAGAGCACTATACCCCGGTCTGAGGCAAGGATTGAGGAAGCAAGTCTGGATCTTAGTCACACATTTTCAGGGCTTAATAACATAGAACACCAGGAACAGCTGCAGTCACCAAATGAAGAGGAACGGAGTGGAAAAGTTGGTGGTCAGTCAGGATTTAAGGCACAGGCAAGAAAGGCTAACAAGGTGTCATCTTTTGTTCAGCTACTGAATGAACAAGAAAGGCATAGACAAGCTGAGTCAAGTGCTCATCTGCCAGTGAAGGCAAGAAGAGATGCAAGTCCTTCTCAGCCAAGAAGCAAAGTGGACCAAGGACATGTTGATCCAGTTTTAATGAGAAGATTAGAAGAGGCCAGACAAGCAAGTGAAACCTCTTTTGCTGAAAGACAGAGGCAGTTGGAGGTACTGGTGGAGCAGCAGCGTGCTCTGTATCAAGAACAGTTAGAACAGCAAAGGGTTCAGCAGCAGCAACAGCAGGAGGTCATAAGACAACAATGGAAGCTACAAGAACAACTCAAGGCTTTGGAAAAAATGCAGCAGGAATTTAATGAGGTAAATTACCTGAAGTAAAGAGTAATATTATTAATGTGCTTGTAAAGGATTTTCCTTCAATGGTAAAGAATCATACCATTAAATTTGTATCAATCTTCCACTGAACAAAGACCCTGGATGACTAATGAACTACATGTACATGCATGTATAGTAGATTAAAACATGAGCAGTATATGCTGATACAAGATCTATACATCTCATCCTAGATGCTCAAAGTTTAAAATGGTTATCCATCTCTTTCCAGCAGATGACACAATCTGGCCTTTGTTGTTCAAAGGCTGGGTAGTGCTATCCACTGGACAAATCTCTATCCAGTGGATAGTACAATGTTAGTTTTCCTAACACTTAACCCCTGGATAGTGATTTATCCGGTGGATAGTGCTATCCAACATTTGAACAACTGGGGCCTTGTTCCCGAATAGTGATTTATTAATTGGATTCATAGTGCCATCTGCTCTTTGATAATCGAACAACTAAGAACGGCCTAATATTAAAATAATAGAAACAGATTTTGCTAGTCCTAATGGGGTGTACTTCATTGAGGCCCTCTGGGGTGTGGGATGGGGGGTACATACATGTATGCCCCTAATCAGAATTTCAAATACAGTCATTTTGGATTTTGATGAGTAGGCCATGTCCCTGTCAGTATTTAACAGGTAACTTTATGTTACCGGTATTTGTCATTTCATCTAGTCTTGTTGCTGTTTCAAGCCCAAGTTGTTTGTTGGAATTTTACCTTAACAGGGCGTCTTCATTCTGTCACATTTCTTCCATACATCTCTCAATCTCTGTCAATGGATTGCGTTATAGGCCATTTGCACTAAGAGGTCATGTGACATAGTTTTCATGAAAATGAAAGTTATATGATTTTGCCTTCGAAAAACGATTAGTGGGTCATATCTTAAACAAAATAATAGTGATTTAGTTTTTCAAACCCGCACCATTTTCTTAAAATGAGTAAGTTCCTCGCTGGTCAGTGACCAAAATGTTATTTTTAAAATTATGAATTACTTCTTTCTGAACACAAGCTTTCCACTTAAACTTCAAGGAGGATGTTGAAAAAATGATGTGGTAACGTTTACAGCAAATCTGAGCGTAACTATCAAATGTTTAACAAGATATAAGCAAAAAATAGTTTTGGCCGCCATATTGGAGGGCAAGAGTATGCCCTCCAACATGGCGGCCAATACAAATCATACTATTTGGTTGAAAAATCAAAGTGCCATAAAATATCTCCCTTAAATGCGTTTCCTTTCAAACTTCAGGTGTAAGCTAATTTTTATGTGCTCTGTCAATTTTTGGCATCAGCAAGATTCCAACTCATTGTTTAAAGGAAGCATTGGTCACATGACCTCTTAGTGCAAGTGGCCTATGAAGCAGCTGATAATCAAGTTTCTGTAAAAAAGAGTCTGTAGATCATGGCTGCCACTGTAGTGCAATATTCCTTTATTAACCTTATTCCAGCTTTCTTTCTTCCTGTACTTCACACAAGCAGTTCACTGTGCATGTGTTAAAAAAATGTTTTTAAAAATTGTTCTGTTGTAAGTCTGCTGAATTGTCACCAAGAGGACCAGCTGTCAGTGAGTCAGACTTAAAACTTCAGAGGGAGCTTGTTCGACAACAGCAGGAATTTCTCCAGCGGCAGCAAGAACAATTACAACAATCTCAGAGTCAGCAAGCGCAAGCACTTAAACAGCAAGAAAGGCTATGTGATCAGATCAAACATTTAGGTATGCTCTGTTACTTTCATTTCCCTGGACTGTAGAATGGCGTTTGCAACAGTTGAAAGCGTTT